CATTTTCTAACACAATGTAGTTCATATCCAATTATATTGATATTTTTCTCATCCATATCAATAGTTTTTTTTCCTCTGCATGTCCCCTCTGTGTCTTCAACATGCATTTATTGGAAACTTAGCTTAAACAGTGTCGGCTCTTGTTGCAGCATATATCTAATGCCTAAATTTTAACTTCTAAATTTTAATCTTATTAATGTCAATGTATTTTTTATCGCTGGGTTAAGCTGAAACTTTTGTTTTTGTTATATGTTTTATTAACTATCATTTTGTCCTTTTTAAAATAGGTTTTAGGGTCGTAGACTTCCCTCTTAAGTACTAAGATGATATAAACAGTCATTTCAAGTCTACACCAAGTAGCTAAGATCAGAGGTAGAGTTAAACTCAAGAGGATATCAACATTTAATCTTTATAACGATTATTTACTCCAAAGGAATCTAAAAGGGCCAATAAGATATAGCCACATCTGGTCAGCACTAACGTCTGTCAGTAATAGTTGTAGTATCAATATGCCAATGTCAAACATTTAAGTTAAAATATACAAATATATCTACATTAACAACTTATATATATTGTATTTCTTTTTCATTAATATAAATTTAAATAATTTGTTAAGATCATTAATATATGAGCCGTTAAGAATATATTTTCATGATGAATGCTATAACTTAACATATATATTTATCACTTTTGCATGCATTTGTATTTGATCAGCATGATGACACAATATTAGTTTTTACTTTAATATAAAAATTAATATATTAATATTAACAGAACTTGCTAATGTAAAGACATATAGATGCTTTAAATTTATTTATACATTTTTGTAGTAGAAGATGTTGATAATTTAGATTAGATTTGAGAGGATTTTTTCATAATGATTGAAGTGGTAATTTAGATGCAAATTTAAGGGGTTATATAAATTATCTATCATAATAGTATGTAGGTAATTAGATGTAAATTGTAGGTTTACTTTTGATCATGTTTCTTAATTGCATAGGTGGGTAATTTGAATATAGGTTGATAGATTACTTTATGTTATTTTAAAAAAAAACGTGGATGAGGGTAAATATTTAGAAAATGGATCTGATGGCTATTATTATCAATGGTGATTAGTCTACCTAATTGATAACCAGATGTTTTAGTTTTTATGAGATTTCTAGGATATATCTTTTTTCTAGCAAGTCATGTGAGAATTTATGTGGAGGCTCCATTCGCTACCTATAGTTAGAAGAGAAATTTCAAGGTCTTATCCATTTCTAGCGCGATATGGATTTACTTAAAACCTAAGCTTAAGTTATATAAGCTCTTGTTGCATCCCTTTCTATGACATCATGATCATGTAGTTTATCTTTCAATTTTTTAATATAGTTGTTGCATTTTCTATCCTTATGTTAAGTCGAAACTCTATCGCTCACTATATCTTTTATTTGAATACTTTTTAAAAAAAATGATTATAGGTCCTAGGCTACCCTATTAGTTCTTACGATGGTACAAATAATCTTACACCACGATAATCAATATGTTGAATTTGTTATATCACATAATTATATTTACAGTAATATTTTTTATAAAACATAGAGTGCTTAAAATTAAATTATAATATTGTTATGGCAAAATGTTTTAGTCAAATTTATAAACTTATTTAAAATAAGAACTTACTAAATTTATTATCATAGAGTACTAATATAACTTAAAGTGAATTGTCAATGGCATTGCTATGTGTTTTTTAAGGATTTTTTCACTTCTGATAAGTTATTAAAATAAATATTTATCATATACATGTTTACTTGTCTATGTGGTGGAAGATAGCTATATGCTTTACTTTTAAATTAAGAGTTCTAACTATGGTCATTGAATTATTTTTTTGTAATATTTCATATTATTATTCATATGTCCTATCTCTATCCCAAAAGGATGCAATTATGTGTTTGTTTGAGTTGAATTTTTTAAGTTTGACTAAATCTATATAAAAATACTAATGACATTTATGATCTTTAGATAAGTATACTATGAAAAAATACTATTAATACTCATGACTTCAAATAAGTATACTATGAAAATATAGTTCTTGATCAATTTAATGACACTCATTTAATATGATAAATTTTAGTACTTTTTTATGTTGATCTGGTCAAAGTTAAAACTCTTTGATTGAGAGATGCCTTTGTTTATTTTCTATAAGGGTTGAGGTGGATAACTTAGATACAAATTAAAATTTGTTGCTTCATATTATCTTTCATAATGGCAGATATAGGTAATTTGAATACAAACTTAGGGTTTACCTTGCATTATCTTTCATAACTTGGAGGTGGGTAATTTATAAAGGTTAGGGACTATTTTAAATTATCTTTTATAATGGTGTAAATGGGTCATTTAGATACAAAGATGTGGGTTATTTTAAAATATCTATCGTGATGGCATATGTGAGTAATTTATACATAAATTTAGGGGGTAGTTTAAATTCTATTTTTATAATGATAGAGTGGGTAATTTATATATAATTTAGTAGTTTTAAAATTATCTTTTACATAAGTTGGTAATTTAGAAGCACAATTAGAGATAACTCTATGTACTTTTCACAATGTAGAGGTGGGTAAATTTTTAAAGAATAGAATAGATCCAACCACTATTATTGGTGATGACGATAAGACTTCCAAATTAATGGCCAAATATTTCCATTTATTGCAAGAATTTCTAAAATTTTTTGTCGTGCCAGGTGAGAATATAATGAAAAAAGAAGGATGAATGCCAAACCGATGGATAACTATTTCTTCACGTTTGTCAAAAATTGTCTCCTCTTTATTTCTTTTATAATACAAATGCTTGCAAAAGTGATAAATATACTCCATCCATACTCAAAAATAAAGTTGTTTTGGACAAGGCTTGGGTCAAACATTGAGAATATAAATCATGAATAACTTTTAAGTTGTTGAGTTTGAAAATATGAAAACCATATGTATATATTTGTCTTGAAAAATATTTTCACAAAAATTTACATATATCTTTTTTTGATAAATATCTTTATAAAAATAAGTAGTCAAAGTTATGCTTTGGAGACCATGTCGTTATCCAAAATGACTTCATTTTTTTAGTATGGAGGGAGTATATGTTATGTTTAAGTTATTTTCTTGGTGTTGATAGTTTGCCTTTAATATTTTGTAAATAGAATTACCTTCCATCTATTTTTGGTTTAATAGACTAATGAACGTGATGAGTACCACCGTTAATTAATTAATCTAGTATCTTCCACAAAAAAATAATTAACCTAGTGAACGTAGTTGGTGGGCCCATGTGATATGGGTATTTTTTAATATCTTGAACGTGGCTTTTTTTAACGTACGAACGTGGCTGATCTTTTTGTTATAACCGACTATAACGTGACGGATACTTGTCATTCAAGATTTTCTACGTGGGGCTGAATTTTTTCTTCGGAACAATAACATTTTATGTTTTTATCTACAATGACAGAGGTGGGTAATTTCTTAGAAAACAAAATGAGATCCAATGGTTATGAATAGCTAGTTTATAGATTTGACGGTTGGATGTTTCTGATTAATGTGAGAATTTCTAGCATTTATCTTTTTTCTTAGCGCGTCTGGTGAGAATTAACGTGGAACCTCCATTGGGGCCTCTAATTAGTAATAGTAATATTGCACGAGTGGATAATAAAAAAGAATCTGTTTGATTACATGAGCGGATACAACACATATGACCTGTGTGAGAATGACGCTTGGACTCCGCACCCATCACTGCGCCCACCGAGGTTGGCTAGCGAATCGATTTGGGCCACTCCACAGAGCCAAGATCCCACCATATACTGCATGAGCGAACCCAAACCTGCACAACATATATAGTCTACAAATATCCATTTTGGGTTTATATTGCTCTTTCGATGCAAGGATCTGGCCTTGGAGGGCTCGGATCCACCCCACCAGCCACTCGAACCACCAAACAGGGATGGATCCAGGGGGGGCTAGGGGGGCTGCAGACCCCCTCGTGAGCCAGATTTCTCCATTAAGTTACTGTTACTTAGCCTCAAATCACCATTAATCTCTAGCTCTAGTCCTAAATCTTCACTATTTAGCCTCCCTTTGTCCCCATCCTGGATCCACCCCTACCGCCGGAGAAGTATGGGGTAGAGGAGTGTGGAGGGCGGGGAGGGGGGTTGTGATAGGGAGGACATTCGCAGGCTGCCGTAGGGCGGCGGCAGTGGCCAGAAAGCTGACGGGAGGGAGGACGTCGAGCGGCACTGGCTAGCCACCCCCGAATCGCCCGTTGGGGACACTGGGGGGGGGGCACCGCCTAGACGGCTTGGAACCTAGCTTGGAGCAGCGAGGTGTCGCTGAGTACCACTTGGTGATTGTGCGGGGGCTCCGACGGAGTTGATTGTGACGGGTTTTGTGCTTTCCTCGTACGTGATCACAAAGGTCAACTATAGTGAAATCTAGAGGCTTGTTGGAGAGCCTAGATCGGTTAGCTTCCTGCGGGGCAAGTCTGGGCCAAAGCTTGAGGACTTGCTTAGCTTCGGTGGGTGGATTTTTTTTCTGGATCCACCATTATAGTGAATTCAAGCAGGCATGGGATAAGAAAAATACTACTTGTGTTCATGAGTTACACGTGTCGAGATACAAATGGCCGCAGGCATGTCTATCTTTGGTGCTGACATGTTCAGAGCAGCCGGCCTTCAGTTCGGGATGTTTTTTTTTTGCCTACACAAAATTCTTAGTGCAATATCGTGTTGGAACGGTGGTCTCTCCCACAGGTAAGTTCTTTGAACAAAAATAAAACCGTCTCCCATAATTTGGATGCTCTAGACCGACCCACTCAAGTCAAGTGCCGCTTAGCTTTTCTATTTTGTTAAAAAAAAAGAAGAAGACAGCGTACGCATCACAATGCGATAAGTCACTTGTAATCTTCATGACGAAACCATGCAAGTAGTAATCCATTTCAACATCATCCATCACACTTGGCTACTTTCATCGCTAACTTGATCGAAACTACCATCCATGCTCAACGACATGGAGTCCATGACCATGACCATGACCAAGAAGTACACAGTGCGATGATCCCACAAGCCTCTGCCTCCTGCTCCTAGTGACGTTGCACCCGTACGTCGTCGTCTCCGGGAACGCAGCCCTGGCCAGCGCCTGCCTGACGCCCTCCTCGAGAGCCCTCAGCACGCGGCTGCCGCCGCCGGCGCTCGTCGTCATCACGCCGCCGCCGGCGCCCTCCTCTCTGCACAGCAGGAAGTCGCACTGAGCCCTGCCTCCCAGGGCGGCCACGTCCGCTCGCAGCGGCCTCAGCCTCATGGCGCGGAACGCGGCGGCGAGGTCAGCGTGGAGCCCCGGCCGGTCGTCGCAGCTGATGGAGGCCCTGACGTACGTCGCCGATGATGGCCGCCCGTAGCCGGTGGCGGCCGCCGCGCCAGTGTAGCAGTGCACGGCGATCCCGTTCGCCTCGGCGGGGATGGTGGCCAGTGGCGGCTGCGCGGTTTCGGCCGATTTCTTCTTGAGGTCCTTGAGTTGGCTAACCACCCGGGCTAGCAAAGTGGCCTTGTCCATCTGTTCATGAGCAGACAGTGACATTGTTGTTTTTTTTTTTGAAAGATCCGGTTATACCGGCTTGTATTAATAAGTAGAAGATAGAGTTCAACATACATGCGCGAGCTGCGCCATCCCAAGTGGCAGACCGCCACCTGGGATGTTAAGGTTCTATGCTAATTACTCATTGAATTCATCCCAATCCTGAGGAAGTGGAAGGTCCTCCCCCCTGCTGACGCCCAATTGGAGTACTCATCCTTGATCTTGGCGAACAGTGCCCGTACGGTGCTATGGTTTTGTTGGAAAACAATAGCATTTCTTTCCTTCCAAATATGCCAGGTAGTCAGCATTGCTAGTGAGTGCGCTGCTTTCGTTCCGATACTTGTGATTGCAAAGAACCACTCTTCCATGTCGCTGTAGTCGTTCCAACCCTCCGGCTGAAGGTTAAGGCAACTGCTCCATGTTGCTACCATCGTCCAGACTTCTCTCGCAAACGGGCATTCCGTGAATAGATGGACGGCAGTCTCCAAATTCCTTTCACACAGAGCACAAAAATAGTTGTTTTCCCATCCCCTCAACTGCAGCCTGGCTGCTGTCCAGACTCGATCTTGCAGGAGCAACCATAAGAAAAATTTGATGCGGGGTGTCGCCCATGCCTTCCAGATTAGTTTTGGAAAATTGGAGAAAATCTGACCGCAGAACTGAATTTCATAGGCCGACTTGGCACTGTACTCGCCTGAGCTCTCAAGAGTCCATACAATAGTGTCCTCTTGCTCACATGATTGGTCCAGATGCAAGGTGTGTATAAGTTTCCACAGCTCGACAAAGTCTCTCAATATCTCTGTATTCAGATTGTGTGCAATGTCCTGAATGAGCTTACCATCAAAAACGGCCTCGCGCACTGTCCATTTCTTCCGCTTTACATGCGTGTACAGGCTCGGGAAAAGGGAGGCCGGTGACCGCCCCCTGATCCAGCACGAGGTCCAGAAAGGCGCTCTCCTGCCATTGCCTATGGTTACTTTGGTTGCCGTCGAGAAAAGGGCGATGTCCTTCTCATCCACAGGTAGCTGCATCCCAGTCCACGGTCTATCTGTACTGCTCCACGTTAGCCATAACCAGCGCAGTCTTAATGCTCTACTGAACCTCTCCATATCTATGATTCCGAGGCCTCCATGGCGGATAGGTCTTGCAACCAACGGCCAAGCCACCTTGCATTTCCCACCTGTGATTTCTCCATCTCCAGCCCACAGGAATCGTCTTCTTAGCTTGTCGAGATCTTGCAGTAGTTGTTTTGGTGCCTTGAGAGAGGTTAGCATATAAATTGGAATCGCACTTAGGACTGAGTGCACAAGCTCTCTTCTCCCTACCGGATTAAGTAAGCGTCCTTGCCAGCCAGCTAGCTTCTTTCTTGCCTTGTCTAAAATTCCTTGGAGATGAACAATCTTTATTGCTGCTGGCACTAACACAAAGCTACACAACATTGGAAACAGCAGGAACTCTCATCTTCTTCTTCTCCTTGTTGTACTGGCTCCTCATGGGACCTACATCTCTACAGCACCTGCCTCAGCCGCCAGTGCCGCAAGGACTTTGGCCAGCTTCTTATTGCCCAGCCTAGCAGCAGCTCTGATGGTGTCAACAGCCTGGTCTGGTAGGTCCTGCCCATACAGATCAATGTACTCCGTGGCCGTCGAATCAGGTGGTGCAGCAGGTGTGTCTATGAACTGGAGCTCCCTCATGAGCTTCCGCTACGCCCTCTGTGAGACCGGTACCGGCGAAGGTCGGGCAGCCTGCCTAAGACTGGTGCGGGTGGCCACTATCAGCTGCTTGCGGCTCCTGCTCGCCCTCGGTAGCTGCGGGGTGTCCGACCTCGGAAGGAGCGGTGCAGTAGTGTCCTTGACGATCGCCTTGCAAAAAGTCGCACAGCCGACGGACGCCGCAACGCCCGATGCCCCAGCCACAGCCTGCCCACCGTCCTCCACCGTGGCCTCATCAGTGCCCAGTCCTCCTGCAACAGCAATCTCTGCTGCCCCACCAGCAGCCTAGAGTATCATACCTGACCTAGGGGTGCCATCGATGTCCATCCTGGTCACCCTATCTGAGATCTCCTCCACCTGGGACTTCTCCACCAACTGAGCCACCGGCGACACCTGGGCCGAAGACAATGTCATCTCCCCCCTGGCCCAGTGTTGACAGCGGTCCACCAGGGGCAAAGGGGCCCAAGGTAGGCACGTACACTGGGGACTCAGCTCCGCGATCGTCACCATCGGGGTAGTAGCAAATGGCCGGGTGGTTGTACACCGGCGCCGCCAAAGACTCCTGCACCATGGGGTCAAAATCCCACTCACGGCCGCCATAGGCCGTCATTGCCGGCTCAGTAATCAGCGGGTCGAAGAAGTGCTGCTCCACTGCAGCCGTGCCCCTAGCAGCCGCCATTCTTGGAGGGGAGCGTGAGCGGCGTCGCTCCCACTCGTACGCCGCGTGCTCCAGGGTGTCGCGTTCCCGCCCGGACCGCGACGGAGAGCGGGCCATCGTGCGCCCGCGCTCCACATACTCCACCGGCTCCAGCTCCCCCATCAGCGCCTGACGATATGTCGGCGGCGAGCGCGTGCAAACACGCACGGACCTCTCCGAGGAGCAGCCCGGGAACAGCTAGCGGACCCTGGAGGACTTCTGCAGCTCCTCCCTAGGGCGGAGGCCCCTGTTGTCGTCGTCGTGGTCGTTCCTACGCACGTAGGTGGAGGGAGGTGGCCGGCATCCACCAGGTTGGGCACGCCTGCCCTTGGCCGCCCTCCCGTCCAGGACGCCGCGCGTCCACTCGAAGGGGATGAACCGCGTCCCCGAGCTGCCATGCTCCAAGGACGTACCAGAGCCCGAGTCTGTGGAGGACGGGCTCCAGTCTTGATAGCCCACCAGATGTACTAGGATCAGGCTGTCACCCTCCCGCCCAATTGGCGGTGTGGCCGGGATGCGGGTTGGCACCTGCCCAAGCCCATTGATCTGCATTGCCTGGCCGGCCCTGGCGGCGAAGAAGGTGTAGGAGATGGACCTCGGTAGCTCGTCAGGGTCCTCCATCCAGACCCAAGAGGTCAGTAGGTCCGGCGTCTCCCTAGCCTCCGGGCTGGTGTCAATGTTGTCGAAGATGCAGGGGTCGCCGAGAACGAGCTTGACCCCCTCCTCGTTCCAAGCTTCCCTGGGCACGTTCTCCATGACGACCTTCACGTGGTACCACCATGTCGTCTCCGTCGGTCCACCAACTGCGCGCCAGGGCGTGATCGGGAAGGCAGAACCCCCGATCTCCACGAAGCCCTGCATCATGGCGCGTTCACGCTCCGTCTTGTTGTTAATCATTTTATTTGTGGTGCAGCACTGATGCCTTCTCCTGTACTTGCACAAATTGATTTCGTGATTAAAAAAATGGAGTTCAACTATGCGTTTTAAAACTCCGAATTCAAACTGCAGACCTGCCTAGCGTCGGGGATCATTCTCCTCAGCGTGGCGAGATGAGCATTGATCCTCTCCCGCCGCCGCCTCTGGGCCTCGCTGTGGATCTTCAGAGCCTGCTACGCCTCCACCGTGCTCTTCCTCGACGTCGACGATGACATCTCCAGCCTGGGCAGAGGCGGCGGCACCGAGCTGGCCGGCCGCGGAGCCGTGTCCCCGTACACTGAAGGAAGAGCACGGCCACGGCCACCATGGTGCAGGTGAAGATGCTGCTTCCCTTCTCGAAACGGTTGGCTCGTAGTAGTAGCCATCTGTTCTAAGTTTCTAACTTCTAAGCCACCTTGTCCTCGCTCATCTTGATCACTAGTGGCACCTCAAAAACTGCAAGAAATCCATCTCACTGCGATGAAACAAAGTAAACACAGAAATCTCTTCAAAGCAAGTTCAAACAGCAAGGGCAAGAGAATGATGAGATGAGGCAAATGGATGGATAAATGTTGGCCAAGTTTGAATGAGGATTATTTGCATTCGCCGTACCTTTGACTATTTGACTATGAAAATCGAAGGCTGGTGTGTCGACGACGGTGCAAGAAGATGGATGATGGAGCGAGTGGAGGAGGCGAAAAGGCCAAGGCTACTTAAACTATTGCAACTAGCCAGTGCTATATGGTACTAGAACAACAGCAACAACGTACGCCTTCATTTCGTCTCTGCCGGGTTAGATAGATATATGCTTGCGATTGCGAAGGGGATTGTCACATTATGTGCATGTGTGCAACTGTAGACCAACTACCGCAGCAAGAACCTTTTTTCTCTCCCACATTGTTCCCCACTTGGAGACGCGCGATCCGTGCTTTTGGACTGGCATGGATGCTTGTGATCTTGGGATACTGCTGTCAGGGCAGTGCTACCACTTCTCCGTTTCTGGAGATGAAAAGGCTCATGCCAAATATAATGAAAGATTTGGTCTCCAAAGAATACTTATGAAAAAAAATATAGGATAAGAATATTCTAGTTCCGACTAAGTCGTGCTTTCGATATGGGTTGTCTACTCTGGATTCGGAGTGCTTTGAGGGTTGTGGTCATTCTATCTTAATCAAGGGTGCATGTTCATTTTTTTCTTTTCAAGATGTAAAAGATTTATCATTGCATTAAGGTAAAAAGATGGGTTTTTACAACGCGTTGCCACGTGAACATATCCTACAACCCGCACCTACCGCTGAAGCCAACACTCCAGGGGTGACCTTACACTCTCCTGAACTAATTACTCACCGAACAAGCAACCTAAGTTGATGGCCCCTGCGTGCGCATCCACTGTAAAGGAGCGGGACTGCCTAGTGAAGGAGTGGCCCCTGCACAAGGCCTGTTTGATATGGCTCATCTCTGGCTCTGACTCTGGCTCCTCCAAGGAGCCCTACCTAACGTTTTGTAGGAGGAGCCGTTCCCTGGAGGAACTCTGCCAAACGCCTCCTAAGTTGATGGCCCTACGCACACCCACTGCGGACAAGTGCCACAAAATTTGCCTAGTGAAGGAGCACCCGATGAGTATGTGGTCCTTGATATCATCTTCTTGGTCGCACAAGTAGCAGTTCTTCCTGGAGTCAAGGGCATGGCTGAATCTTTGGTCTACCGTCAAGTGTTGTTGCGACAAGAAGATGCGTACCTGCAGTGGCGTCTAGGTGTTCCAGATGAGCTTGCTACCGAGGAGCGGGACTGAGCCAACGTGCACCGCGTGGTAAGCTGATTTTGCAGAGTGGGAGTCATCCAATGTCCACCACCAGCCTGTTCGGCTGGGCTGGCTGGATCGTGGATTATTTACTGTTGACTGATTTGGTGTGAGAGAAAAATATTGTTCCAGCTTATAATCCACGATCGTTTAAGGCCTACCGAACTGGTTGGGTCAAGGGTGTCTAGTGACAGCATGGTGCATGTGAGGGCGTCCCAAAGACGCATGTACTCTCTACAATTGCCTAGACAGACACGCCACCAGTGATCTAGCGGATCCACACCCCATTCAGCAAGGTTTGTCGCCACTATTGCCTTGCATTTGCGCCTGGCCGAGATGAGAGCAGTGAGGGCATGCGCAAAGTCTTGTATGGCCTCACCGAGAACCCAGTTATCAATCCAAAACAAGGTTCCCCTACCGTTGCTGGACATGATTGACGTTGATCCCTTGAAGAAGGCATGCACCACTGGGTTCGCCTTGATCGGCAGCTCGACCCAAGTGTGCTCTGAGTCCCTGCATTAATTGTTGCCACAACCATCTGGATTGCAGGGTAACAGTGGCCAGCCTGAGGTCGGTGATCCATGGGCCAGCAAGTCATCAGCCATGCTACCATGCATTTCCCACGCATCGATCCGTCCTTGTCTGCCAGTGAAGTCTCCTGCAGGTGGAGTCAATTTCCTTGCGCACCCAAGGAGGCAGACCGTCGACGAGCATGGCGTAGATATATAGGAACGGTGGGTAGCACAAACTTGATCCAGATCAGCCGCCTGCTTCTTGCCATCAACAAACCAAGGGATGGCAGAAGTTTTCACTCGACGTTATCGATGAGGCTCTATAGGTGCGCCTTCAAGATTTTCTTGGTGCTGAGGGGATGGCCGAAGTATTTGATCGGGTAATGGTTGCATCTGGCAACCCGGATTTACTTGATCTCTTCTTGAACATCTTCGCCATCGAACGAAGATTGGCGTGATGGAGCACTTGATGAGGTTGGTCATTTTCTACCCCAAAAATTACTTTTTTCGTCTGCGCCTATCACCTTCGTTGTGGCGTTCTTTCGTTTATCCTAACCTTGAACCTTAGCCCCTTAAATGCTAACATTGGTGAACACGGAGAGAAGGAGGAGGTCTCATGGCCTTGGATTGAATGCTCATATAAATGAATGAAGATTGACGTTGGACAGAGCAAAAATCGACAGCAAAAAAAAACCCCACTATGAATGCAAGAATGAGCGATTTCTTTTAAATAAAGCAGTATAAATAAAGTACCGTACAACTATTTGGGTTAATGTACTTATGTAAAGTCTGAAGCCCTGTCATATATCGCGGACCAATCGACGGTCAGTTATCTCAGGCCATCACTGGCAGGGTACGTGTCGCGAGATTAGCAAGAGCGACGCTCAAGGGTGAAAGGACGAACTGGCCTGTTCGTACAGTACAGTGGCATCCAGCAATACTAGCAGTGACAGGTACTGTAGCACGTTCGTTTTTATTTGGCAAATAGTGTTCAAACATGGACTAATTAGTCTCAAAATATTCGTCTCGTAATTTCCCATCAAACTGTACAATTAGTTTTTCTTTTCGTCTACATTTAATGCTTCATGCATGGGCCGTAAACATTCGATGTGACAGATACTGTAGCAAATTTTTTAAAGTTGAGGTGGAACTAAACAAGCAAGGGTGAGAGTGGTCTGTGGCATTCGGCATTCTGGTTGGAAGAGAAGGGGGACAAAAATCCCCTCGGGATCCAGAGCAAATGTCAGACGAGTGAAGTGCAGGTTCGGCGTCCAGCGGCACGGTGTAGTGGCTGGCGCACGACGCCCGAGATGCTCTTCATCTTCCTTTGACCCACCAAGCTGTCACCCGTAGAAATACGTGTTCTTGCCACCGCCCAAAAGAAACAAGGGACAACAGCGTTTGCTCATCTTGGCTGGATGTGCTATGTTTCAACTTTGGATGTAGAACGGCGCGCGGTTATGGTACGGATGGCAAGTGAAGTTGTCACCGTCGAAATTCTAATTTGGTACTATATCAGGGTGTTGTGACGAAAGAAAAAAGAAGCAATAAAATCAGATTAAGACGAATGATGAGAGAAAAAGACGTTATCACCAAAACAGTGTTTTCTTAGGAAATCACTTATACGAGGGTATAACCTCTGATACCCACAGAGCTATATATGGGCCGAGCCACTAGGGGAGGCCCAGCCCACAAGACTATGCCGCGCGGAGCATGGCGCAGGTCGGCGTGCCTCGCAAGACTACGTGAAGATCATTGGCGATCAAGAAAAATCTGTTCGGATATACTAGATTCCGCAATTTCTGTAATTTCTATCTTATAAATCGATCAGGATAGAAACAACCGACCTGTAACCCTACCCCGTGCTATATAAGGCTCGTAGGGACCCCCTCGTTTCCGGATCTGATCTCTCGTAATACAATCCACAAAGACACGGGACGTAGGGTATTACATCAAGCTGACGGCCTGAACCTGCCTAATCGTTGTCTCTTGCGTTCTGTGTCACCATCCGGTTCCCTCACGCGCACATCCACCTATTCATCTACTACCGTTGACATACCCCTTGGTAGACTGCCAGACGTATTTCGTCGACAATGGCACACCAGGTAGAGGGTGTGCGTGCTAATCCCATGACGAACCAGATGGCGTACCTGAAGATCAATGTCGTTCGCGGCAACTCGTCTACCTGCGACGGCATCCCGAGCTTACATGAAGAGGCTCGACATCGACGCGCGTTGTGGCGACACTGTGGCGCAACTCGGTCGACGCCTCCTTCAACAACTTCTACACCAAAAATCCTATGAGGGGCAACGTCAACATGACTGCCGCCTCGGCTCCCTTCCGGCCATGGGCGGACCTCGACTCTAACCTTGTCTCCATCGTCGCTCCGTGCTGCACGTTAAGGGCTCCGCGCTCTCGCCGTGTTCTCCGCCAACGCGCCACGGACCACCCCGCGTCGCTTGTGGCCTGCTTCCATCACGCGCGGCGCTGGGCTAGGCTCCTGCGCGGTGACCTGCGATCCGATCTTTGTCTGTAGACCCGGCACTCTGGATGCATCTCGGACTACTGATCCAACCATGGACTTTGTCGAGATCAATTGCAGAAAAGCAAGCCGTCGAATATGGGCCACGGTGACG